ATATATGTCACCCTAACGCACAGAGTTTAGTAAAAGAAATGGATGAGTTTAGGTATTTGTTTGTTAATTTTAATGTAGATGTAGTTTGTGTGTCCGAAACGTGGTTTGTGTCTTGTCTTAATGATAATAATGTATGTTGTTATGGGTATAGAGTTTATTGTTCAGATCGTGAGGGGCATGCGGGGGGTGTAGCCATATATGTCAGAAATAATATCAAAGCTTATGAGTATTTGTTTTTGAGTATTTGTTTTTACAATTATCAAATAGTAGAAATATGGAAAGCATATTAGTTGGATGTGTTTATAGACCAAACAGAAACACTGACTACACTGATTTTTTGAGCATTCTCTCCTCGGTGTCCCTGAAACATAACAATATTGTCCTGGCTGGTGATTTCAATAGCAATATGCTTGTTGAACGACATTTAAGGGACGATATGGTGTCTCTTGGCATGAAGCTAGTGAGCTCTACAGTACCTACACATTTCTCTAACACATCTGACACCCTTCTTGACGTATTTTTATACCCTGTACCCGTAGGGTAAAAAGGGTATATTAGGTTTGTGCAAAGTATGTAACATACAGAAGAAAGCATCTCCGACCCCATAAAGTATATATATTCTTGATCAGCATGACGAGAGAAATCGATATAGACATGTCCGTCCGTCTGTCCGTCCGTCTGGATGAACGCGAGGATCTCAGAAACTATAAAAGCTAGAATAACCAAAGTTGGCATCCAGATTCTCCTAGATCCGAGTAAGGACGAGTTTATTTTTATTTTTTTCATTTTCCCCCCCTTCCCCCGCTGCAGAATTTCGTCAATAGCGTCCACATTTCAAATGCTACCTAACTTTGCACACATAATTTATAAATAATTATCTACTGTTGTTTAAAATTTTATTGAATTCTGTCAATTCTAAGAAAAGTTATTAGCGAAACAAATTCTTGCCAGTACAACCCCCACAAACTGCAGCAACAAGTTCGCTCTTCTTCTTCCTCTTTTTGGTGCTGCTTTGGGCGCATATAACTCAGTGACGGAAGTTTACCTGGGTACAGGGTATTACACTGTCGGGCTTGCTCGACTGTAGCGTTCTCTCTTGTTTGTAAATGACACCGAGAAAATGCTCCTATTTGACCAACTCTCTGTACCAGCTTTTTCCAAACATCATTTGATTTTCATAACTTATGATATTTTCTTGGATCATATTTTCTAACCATTCATTTAGTTATAGGGACTTCAGGAACATTGACAATAGGCTACTGTTTGACTTTTGTGATAACATGAACTTTGATGACATTTATTCAAAACCCACCGCAACGTTCATTGTTCGTTGGATCAGAAAAAATGAACAAACTCCTTTCTCGGGCTCAGGAGAATCTGTATACCAAGTTTGGTTATTCTAGCTCTTATACTTTCGGAGATCCTTGCGTTCATACAGACAGACAGACGGACAGACGGACATGGCTATATCGATTCGGCTTGTCATGCTGATCAAGAATATATATACTTTGTGGGATCTACCAAGCCTCCTTCTGTGTGTTCCATGTGCACTCGCACAAAACTAATATACCCTTGTACCCTTTGGGTACAATCATTCTATCATAATGAAACTTGGTATACAAATATATAATCACTAACCTAATGTGACTACCAAGAATTACGGGCGTTATAGAAAATCGTTAATAGGGGGGGGGGGGGGGGGGAGTGGGGAGTTGGATCAGAAAAAATGAACAAACTCCTTTCTCGGGCTCAGGAGAATCTGTATACCAAGTTTGCTTATTCTAGCTCTTATACTTTCGGAGATCCTTGCGTTCATACAGACAGACAGACAGACGGACATGGCTATATCGATTCGGCTTGTCATGCTGATCAAGAATATATATACTTTGTGGGGTCTACCAAGCCTCCTTCTGTGTGTTCCATGTGCACTCGCACAAAACTAATATACCCTTGTACCCTTTGGGTACAGGGTATAAAAACTGAGGCGTACAGTTGGGCTGAAAATTATGAATGCGAAACGTGCTCATTTCTCCTCGAAATTCTCCTCAGTGATACTGTGATACTAGCTTTAGTTTTATGTGTGTACGTCAATGTAATGTCTTAGATGCAGTCCTCAAAGTTAAGTTCAACGCCATAGGCCTAGATGAGTTACACCCCAAATTTTTAAAATTATTGCTTCCTAAAGATCTAAAGTATATAAATCACATATTTAACTCATTGCTTACGACATTTTGCTTTCCGTACAAGTGGAAATCAGGAAAAATTGTTCCTATTCCGAAAGGAAGCAATGACTTTAGACCAATCACAATTCTACCATTTCTATCAAAAGCACTCGAACACCTGATGACAAAACAAATTAGCAACTACATGGTATTTCTACCATCTACTCACTCTTGAGCGACAAACAATCGGGCTTCAAAAATAATAGAAGTTGTGTTACATCATTAATTAAAATCACTGACGATATTCGAAAGGAAATGGACAACACTATGGTAACTTTTCTAACCATCCTTGACTATTCAAAAGCTTTTGACACCGTAAATCACACCATACTGTGTACGAAATTGAAAAGTCTTTATAATTTCTCTGACTCAGCTATTAATCTTGTCCAGTCTTATCTGTCCTGTCGTCACCAAGCAGTTGTTACATCGCCTAATTTTTCGTCTTTTTACATGAAATGTACAAGAGTATATTAGGTTTGCGGGAGCTGAAAAATGTAACAGGCAGAAGGAGGCGTGGCAGACCCCACAAAGTATATATATTCTTGATCAGCGTGACAAGACGAGTCGATCTAGCCCTGTCTGTCTGTCTGTCCGTCCGTATGAACACCTGGATCTCAGAGACTATAAGAGATAGAGACACCAAATTTTGCACAAAGATGCGTTATGTGTGTATTCTATACGAGTTTTATTTTTTTGATTTTCCCCCCCACTTCCCCCCTATGGGGGTTTTCCCGATTTTCCATTCGTATAATCGCCTATATCTCGGAGACTATAAGACCTAGGCACACCAAATTTTAGTCCAAGATTCCTTGTGTGAATACGCAGAAAATATATATTTTGGAATTTCCCTCCCTTCCCCTTTGCAAATACCCCCAGTTAGTAATTATGTGTCCGTATGCTAAGTTTCACTATGATAGACCGATTTACCAAGAAGTTATATCCATAAATATATTTGCTGCTGCAGCGCTGCTCAAGCGCTGCCCGCGGCTGTTGTTGATGTTGCTGTTTGGTTGACTGCGAAAATGCTTACACAGACACGAATTGATGCGCATAGGCATACATACACTCACACAGACGCAATTGCTATGTAAATGTGCAATTATACACCCTTTACGTGAGTTCGAATACCGAGAGAGGTAAAATCGATCCAATTTTTTATTTTTTTTATTTTTTATTTTCTATAATTATTGTAAACATATGTACAGAGTATTTCAAAGTCGGGACACCCGACTTTAGCTTTTTTACTTGTTTATTTATAAAGCGTGGAGTCCCTCAGGGGTCTGTCTTAGGACCACTATTGATCTCAATTTATGTCAATGATCGTCCGTTATGTTGAATAGATGAATGTATTCGTATCTGCTATGATGATCTCTACAAAATCAGTAAATGGGCTAGTATTAACGGATTGGAGGTTAACCCTAAAAAATCAAAATGCTTAGTAATATATAAAAAAAAATTAACACACTCATTCTTGAGCAAGTACGACTTAACAACGAGCCCATTGAGTGCGTAGAGCAGGCAATAAACCTAGGCATAACTATAAATCAATCGTTATCTTGGTGCGACCATGTAAATAAGGCAGTTGGAAAACTTTATACCGCACTAAGGAGTCTGTCTTTAACGCAGAACTTTCTACCTGTACAACTAAAGCTCCTTATTGCCAAGACATGTCTGACACCCTTGCTATTTTATGGGATTGAAATTTTCGGAAACTGCGATGCTGTAAGCCTAATAAAATAAAAGTAGCCTTTAATAGCATAGCCCGGTATATTTTGAACATTCAAAGAAGAGATTCAATAACGACGTACGCCAACAAAATATATAATATGACCCTTGACTCATGGATTAAACTTAGAACCCTAATCTTCTTGCATAAAGTTATCACACGTAAGGAACCGAACTATTTACACGACAAAATTGCTTTCCCCACATCAAGAAGAACGAATAACATAGTTTGCACGAGATTTAAATTAGCAAGCTCGGAAAAGCATTTCTTTATTTCCGCTGTTTGTATGTGGAATGAGTTACCGCATAACCTGAAAACAATCACCAGCGAAACGCACTTTAGAGTTAAGATTCAAGCATACTTGCAAAACATTAACTAAATTAACTTTACTAAAAATTATTATATTAAAAACACACTTAGTTGAGTAGGCAAAATAGATTATGTATAAAACTAATTAAAAAATCCTAATATTTATTTAATATAATTATAAAGAATAATAATAATGTTTAATGTTAAAACTAAAATTAATAATATGAAAATAACCTAATAATAAGATTGATATAATTAAAATTGTAATGACTAGCGTAATAATTTAAAAGTAACCTGATACTTGTAACGCTAGGATAAGGTTAACAAATAAATAAATAAAATAAAATAAATAAGCAGGCATACACTAACATAGCCAGAATTCCTATGTAAAAGTCTAATTATATACCCTTTACGTGAGTTCGAATACCAAGGGTGGTAAATTTTTTTTCAATTATCTTAATTTTTGAAATTTATATTGTTTTAATTGTTCTACACATATGTACAGAGTATTTCAAAACCATGACACCCGACTTTAGCTTTTCTTCCTTTATTATAATTGTTTTCCCCGCCGTCATGTTAGTTGCTTAACAACAAACAATTCGTAACCAATTCTTTTTAAGTCCGTTGGCAAAGCAACCAACCTTATTTACTCTATTGAAAAAGCAAGTTAAGTAACTGGCGTTGCTTCATATATTTAGCAACCACACTGATTTACTAGCTGTATAAATAAAACACTTTTTAATATGGCTGACCAAAATGAGTTGGACCAGTTAGCCACTGCCGAATTGCTACGCTTACAGCGTCAGCATCGATGCCTTAAGCTGGATTTACAGGGATTGCTGGAGGAGAAATCTAAACGGCTGAAAAAACAAACTCAAACAATAAATTCTCTACAGTTGGATTGTGAAAAACTGAGGAATGAAGTCAAATCTCTAGAAGGCGGTACTCACGCGCGAAGGAACTATAGTGTTAGTACTAGTCGATTACGTTATCTCTTACATTCATCAATAGTTTTGTTATAGAGGGAAAAGCATTTAGGGTCACTTCAAAAACAGAAAACAGAATTGCAGAGGGTACTTCAAGCTGAGCGGTCCAATCTCTGGGAACTTGAGGGGCACATAAAAAAAATGGAAAAAGAAATTGATGCGCTCCGGAGAAATGAAATACCTGACAACTGCTATAAAGATACAATTGGCAAGGTTCAGAAGAGCGTAGTTAAGCTCGAAAATCGTTTGGATGTCGTAAATAAAAAGTGCAGTGATGTGTTAACAGAAAATAGTAAAATGCGTGATGCGATCAATCATATGTTGCAGGATCGGTGAGTAAAGAGTTGAATCCCAGAATGCCCCCTTACCTGTTTAAATTGTAGATCCAATTTCAATGACATGTGGCAATCCATGGTTGCGGAATTTAATGATGGCAAAAAATATATAATGGACCTAATTGATCAATCTACTCTAGCTTTTGATCAACGGGAAGAGCTAAGTAATAAAGTACAAGTACTTAAGGATCGTAATGAGAATGACAAGATAATGCATATTCAGGTTTGCGACTCTTATACTATATTATATGAATTATTATTATTATTTCACCGCAGGAAATGCGAGAAATGCAACGTCGTCTAGAGCACGATGCACAATTGCAAAAGTTTTACGATACAAAAGGACAAAGACGCCTTAATCCCGAGCTAGAGCAACGCGAAAATGATAAGAAAAAGGCACAAAAGGAAAGCTTCGAACGCCAGCTTTTCGAATATAAGGATATTATTGAGAAAATAAAACATATTTATAGTGAACAGGAATCTGGGAGATTAGTGGCACAGTTTAAAAGGCAGGAAGATGAAAACTTCGCACTGTTTAATTATGTAAACGAACTAAGTCATGAAGTAGAAGTTCTAAACGATTCTACACAAGAGTTGGTCGAAGAAATCGGTTTGTTTAAAGATAAAAAACGAATAAGTCAAAAGATACAAAATATAAGCAAATCATTCTTAATTATAGAGCGTCAGAAGTCAGAGAAAATTGATAAGGAGGTAAAGATGAAGACCGAAGCTGTTGATTACTTAAATAGTGAGCTGTTTCGTATAGAACAAATGGTGAAATCTACAAAGCAAAATAAATGTATCCTATGTACACGACTCCAGGATTTACTAAAAGGAATTGAGAACATATTTAAGTATGTAAAATTGAATAATTTACATAAATTTTTTTAATATTTTTTCTTTTCAGGCAGCTTTCATGTACCGATGCTCCAATTCTAAGTATTCTTAGCTGTAAGCCCTTCTTAACAATCCACAACGTAAAGCTTCATATTGGAGTAATAGAACGCCGAATAAATCTGGTTATTAGCACCATAAATATTGAAGACAACTCTAATAAAATACTTGCAAAGAAGGATCGGATTCCCAAATTTAATTTACGAGAATCGATTAAAAATAAAAACTAACTGAAGCCAAGCCAAAATGGTCAGCTGAATCAACTGCTCGGCTGTGATATATGTCTTACCGGAACACAATAGTATGAGAAAACAAGATAGAACGTTACAGTCGAGCAAGCCCGACAGTAAAATACCCTGTACTCTCCACAAAAAAGGAAAATTTAAGAAAACAAATTATTTAATAAAATTTAATTAATTTCATTTATTAATTAAATTAAATATAAAATATTCAATACATGCATACATACATAAGTGTTTATGTACAATTTCAATAGAATAAATTTACATCAGAATCGTGTCTCTACGTGTTTATATGCGTGTATGTATTAAGCACAAAGTTGAATCAGAGCAGCAACAATAATCGCTGCGGGCAGAGCTGCAGGCAGAATGAGCAGCGATTTTATTTACGGCTATAACTTTCTTCATAATTGACCAATCATGATGAAACTAAACATACGGTCACATAATCACTAGCTGGATGTAATAACCAACTTTGAGTTAAAAATTCCAGTAATTTAAATTACGGGAGTTATGGAAAAAACACTATTTCCGGGGAGTGGGAGGGTGCATCGAAAAAAATTCAAACTCGTACTTTCTTGGACTTAGGAGAATCTGGATACCAAGTTTGGTTATTGTAGCTCTTATACTTTCTGAAATCCTTGCGTTCATACAGATGGACGGACGGACAAAGGGTAAAGGCTATATTAGTTTTGTGCAATGTACATATGTAACAGGCAGAAGGAAGCGTGCCACAAAGTATATATATTCTTGATCAGGGTGATAAGTCGAGTCGATATAGCCATGTCCGTCTCTCCGTCCGTCCGTGGACGAGTGCAAGGATCTCCGAAGGTACAAGATCTAGAATTACCAAACTTGGTATCCAGGTCTTGTCCGTCTTTGCTGGGCTAAGTAAAATGTGCTTATAATTAAAAGTTTATTTACTTTAAAGAGTTCATTTTCCAAAAAGTAAATATAGTACAATAATTACTATGTATGGTTATACGTACATACATACATATGTATCTTCGTTACGCACCGGGCGGACTCCCAGTCCTGACTTAACTGTGTGCTTCCTCAGCACATTGTACACACGGTCGAGTTATCCCCGAAAAGTCCGATGCGGGACATTTAATTTTGATTTATAAATCGTGACGTCCAGCCAAAATTGGAGCGTTCGCCAACGCTGATATGTACATACATTTAAATTTTTCATGCAGGCGTTATCCGCCTATATACATACATACATACATATATAAGTATGCATTAAATTTTTTAATTCAACAATAATTTGTGTCTTCAATTCCAAATATGATTGTTCTGAATGTAAAAGGTGTGTTTCTGCTTTTGAAAATCGCATGAATACACTCACAAAATAGGCTTAACGGTAAATGACTCTTAGATTTGTTCAGAATACATTTGTAGCGTTGTTAGCTAACATTAAAACGGTAAGTCGCTGTAAATATGCGATCAGCTGAGATGCTAGAGATGGGCATATGTCAGATGTTCTATGTGCTAGAGCATCAAAACTATCGATAGGTGAATGCGTCGATACAATCAAAAAATTCCATCGAATGCAATTAACAGAAAATTTAAATAATAACATCTTATAATTTATTGAGATCAATTAGAACAAATCATATACAAACATACATCTGCCCGCAACGCGGTTTCTGCTTTACTAGAAGAAGCGCGAGCCAATGACTTGCAGTTGTTGATGTTTTAAAAATTTACTTAAAACCATGGAACATTATTTATTACAATCAAACAACAGTGCTCGATTGTCCAATGTATGCATACATACGAATGTACATACATGCTATATATGTACGTACACAGGCATACATACATACATATGTATGTACATATGCATGCATGTTTCTCTTTACATTTTCATACATAGACCCGAACTGTTACTTGTTCTGTGTGTGAGTGGGTGTGTATGATGTCCCCAACTATTTGATATTTGCGTTCTTTGTAATTTGTTGTTGTATAAAGTTACTAATGAAAACCGTAATGCCAAATGTACTAAACAAAGAAAAAATTACTTTTAAAAATGTTAAATAATTTTTAATTAATTAACATTTCTTTCTCTGTCAGTGCAAGACGAATGAACATACATACATACATAGATGTGTACATATGTATGTGTGTACATTCACACATTAGTGTAGGATGTGGGGAATAAGGCGGGAGTAGAATACCCTTTTAGCAACCCTGGTCTAATATGGAATCGGCGAGTATCGATAGGTTTAAGAATCGAACAGAAGAGGAGAATAAGGCATTCGCTTGAGTGGAGTGGCTGAAGTCAGTTGTTTGAGAGTTGCGGGTCAGAGTGTGGACAGTAAGTGTTGTTGCCAAGGCCAGTTTAAAGTATTGTTCGCGGAAGTGCTGCGCATTTCTTTTATATTAACTATTCATTTAACTTTTAAAACTTATGTATACTACAAGACATCCCAAATAAACTAATTTGTATTTCAAACCTACAAATAATTGGGGGCTCAACCGGGATTTGTCTAAAGTATAAAAAGAAGTGTTGTGAATTTTTACATACGCGTCAACGTATACTTTGAGTGTGTGCAGCACGAAAATTCTGTGTTAAAGGTGTACAGCCGCGTTCAAGGCCAAAAATTTGTTCATTATATCGCCATATACATACGTGGAAGCGACAAACGGCAACAACGACGCTACATCGATGAATGCGAGAGGCCTAACGGTAAAAACAAACAGTAAAGTGGCTGGCGACGAGGCAGAAGTACAGCTGAACTATACGAATACTCACGTACTCGTATATGAGATGCTGCAACAGTGAAGAGTGCGTCGAGGGAGTCGCAGTTGAAGGGCGCAGAAACGTAACAACGCAAAGTGTGTGTGCGTGTGTGCGTTGATCTGCAGGCTGCGACAGCGAAAACGACGGCAGCGAGGGAGTCGCAGTTGAAGGGCGCAGAAACGTAACAACGCAAAGTGTGTATGCGTTGATCTGCAGGCTGCGACATCGAAAGCGACGGCAGCGAGGGAGTCACAGTTGAAGGGCGCAGAAAACGTAACAACGCAAAGTGTGTGTGCGTGTATACGTTTATCTGCAAGCTGTTACATATATACTTGGTTACGTTAGCAATAAGCATCGTAAAAAAGTATAGCGCAACAAAATATCGCTGTGTAGCAAGTTAACGGCCGCCAAGCAGTTTGCAAGCAGCGCAGCGTGGGAAGTGCGACGCGGGACGCAGGCAGTGAGAAACTGCATACAAACAACAGCAAGCAGTAGAAGCAGTTTGAAACAGTGGAGAGCAGCAGTACAAGCGGTAGGCAAATCCAAATACCAGAGAACGCGGTATTGGTGAGTGTATGTGCAGGCACCTAACAATTTAAAAAAAAAAAAAACTTAAAATTTTGTCAATTCTTTTAATGAGAGGTGAAGCCTCCATTAATTTTGTAAACTAACATAATTTAAGAAAATATTTTGTTGTACAAAGCAGTAGTACTTGCGCAAACAATAATGGATTCGAAAACAATTATGTCATTGAAAGTAGAAGAGCTGCGGCAGCATTTAAAAGAGCTCAAACTTAGTACAGTGGGCAGAAAAAGTGTGTTGCAGGATAGATTGTTGGACCACTATGATTTGGAGGAGGTTGATTTAGATGTAGAGGAAGACAAATCAGAACAGGCAAGCGTGTATGAAGATGTACATAGTAATAACAGCATTTCACGTTTTACATTGCGCGACGTGCAGGATAGCATTACAGCTTTTTCTGGCACAAGTCAGCCAAACGTAGAACAGTGGATTGCAGAATTTGAAGATGTAGCCATAACCGTGCGATGGGATGACCTCCAAAAGCTTATTTACGCCAAACAGCTATTGATTGGGGCAGCAAAATTGTTTACAAGAGGATTGACTGGAGTCCGCAGTTGGACACAATTGAAGGCAAATCTTAAATCTGAATTTGGCCAGAAATTGAGCTCAGCTGAGGTACACAGTTTGCTAAGGAAAAGACGAAAACTACCGAAAGAGACTTTGACCGAATATTTAAACAGCCTGATTGAGATGGGGAAACAAATTCAACTCGATGATGAGAGCTTGATCTCTTACTTTGCCGATGGTGTGCCAGACACAAAATCCAACAAGGCAAGTCTTTATCGTTGCAAAACTATAAAAGATTTAAAAGAGGAAATCAAGCTCTACGATAAGATCGAGGGTGGAAACAAAGAAATTGTAATGAAAAAAGGACAGGGACAAAATACTAAGAGATGCTTTAAATGCAAGGAACCATCAACATGCTATAATTGCAACAAGCCAGGCCACATCGCCAAAAATTGTGAAAAAAAGAAAAAAAAGAGCAAGTTGCGTTTGCCGGATTAGAATCAGTGGGAAAAGACTTAACCTATAAACAGTTTGTCATCAAGGACATGCCGTTTTTAGCGATGGTCGATACTGGCTGCGATTTGTGCTTTAGTGGGAAGATTGGAAGGAGTGAATTTGGTGAAGGACAGTAAACAATTACGAGGCATAGGCAAGGGCGAATTAACTACTATAGGGTATTTCACAACTGATGTAGAGGTCGAGGACTTATGTTTTGGTGTTACCTTTAATGTGGTTAAAAGGAACGATTTGAACTACATTGCCATAATCGGGAAAGATGTTCTAAAGTCTGTTGACATAACATTCAGCGCAGAAGGGGTCAAGTTTAAAGGTAGAAATAAAGAATCTGCAAACGTGTTTAGTGGAATGTGTGTTGAGGAAATGTCACAGGAACGATTGGCATCAGACAGGGTCGATTTAAGTCACCTGAAGGAAGAACAGAAGTTTGTAGTAGAGGGGTTGATAAACAATTACTCTCCCAAAAAGGTCATTAAGTCACCAGTTAAAATGAAGATAGTTCTAGAAGATGACTTTCCAGTTTTTCACTACCCTCGAAGGACTTCGTATGTAAACAAAATGATTATTGAAAAAGAAGTTCAGCAATGGTTAGATGAGAGAATCGTAGTACCAAGCTCTTCAGAATATGCTGCTCCAG